CCAGGATGCTTCTTCCTTTCAGCAATTGTCTCATCCTCTCTTGCTTTTGTTGTTCTTGTCAGTCGTGGGTACCACTGCTACAGGGCGGCGACGACAGCGACCACAACAGCGACGACGACAACGACCACAAGAGCAATTTCAAGAGCACGAGCAGTAACAATAACACGAACAAGAACAATTGCAGGAGCAAGAACCGCAACAACATCGACAACACAGCAACAGGAGCAACACTACCACGACGGCGACGACGACGACTACTACTGTTACCATCACCACCGCGACCACCACGACTAGTATTATGAGTGTTACGAGTACGACGACGACCACTACCACTACTACCACGGCGACGGCGACTACTGCTACTACCACTACTATCACTACGACTTCTAGCACTACTACGACGACTACTACTAATACTGCCACTACTACTACTACTACTACTACTACTACTACTACTACTATTACTACTACCACTACTACTACTACTACTACTACTACTACTACTACTACTACCACCGCTACTGCCACGACGACGACGACTACGACTACGACTACGACTACGACGACAACGACTACTTTTACTGCTACGGCTACTACAACAACGAGTAGGACCTACGACCACGGCGACGACTGCGATTGCGACTGCGAATGCGACTGCGACCACGGCTACGACTGCGACTACTGCGACGACTAGCTACTTCTACGACTACAACGACGACGACGATGGCGGACGACGGACGATGACGACGACGACTACTACCACCACTACTTCTGCCAGAAAAACGTCAAAACTTTTCATGCTGCGAGTGGTTGGAATTCCATCCGGTCATTTTCGGTCGGCCTTTGCATTGCCAAGCAGTATTACCCAACTTGTATCAGAGCTGACGCGAGTGCTGCAAGGTTAACGCAAGGAGCTAGTGCTGCCATGAAAGCTTTTCTCGAAGTGAGGGTGCCGGACAGGAGGCTGCTCACACCCTCTTAGCTGCTGCCCAGGCAGTCTGTCAGAATTTTTGCAGATTTCAGTCGGTTTGCTGGTTACGTGGAAATTTCATTGGATTTGTGGCAGATGTGCACTAGGAATTCCAGGCCTGTGCTTGAAATTCTTGGCTGTACTTCGAAAAGTTGAAGCCGGCTTCCTTGCTGTGGCAGGTCTCGTACCTGATGCCATCCGTAAGCCTTGAGACCAGACTGGCAAAGCAATGGGTCTGCTTAAGACGGCAACAGCGGCAACGCACATCAGAACCAAGCGCGAGAGGGCATATTGATCGCTCAGTAAAGCATTGCATGAGGTGATAGTTCTATCGCATGTGCACAAGCATCCGCCGACCTTTGCAACAAGAGCTATGTTTTAGTAGGCGAGCAGAAGCACGTCTAGAGTACGAACTCCGTGCACAAATGGAAGTTATTCAATTCTTCTTTGCGGGATTTACACAGAAAGTTGCGTCATCGGGACTCTTAGAGGAGACTCTGCTTGCGGAGTGCAGAAATCCCCAAATGGACCCGAGAAGTGATCGCCACAGACTCGCGATACACTGGATAAGCCTTGAACTGAAAGGGTGAGTTGAAGCAGGACACCCCAAAGAAGATCTCCGCCGTGTAAGCCACTCATGTGCTTCGCTTGAGAGGATGGACGTCTGGAGGAGGTGCTGACCAAGAAGAGCCAGGAGTGGCCCTGCGTGGATCTTCCAGACAGAGACATCGCACGAGAAGTGAAGGAGTGGTTAGGTTTTGGCACATCAGAGGAACTCTCCGGGTAGAGAGATACTTGCTTTAAACGGCTATGGCTATGGTCCATGGTTCAAGGGATTTTCAGACAGAAGCCTCTCCAATTTTCTCGCTGCTGGTAGCTGCCATGCCTCCAGTGCAATCGCGCTTCGCTGCAGCTGGCCTTGTCGCCGGCCTTGCAGCCTCCGCCTTTGTCGCACCGTCCACCCGCGGAGATCGCCAGCTGAGGGCAGGCGGGACCTCAAAGGCTCCCGCTCGCACACGGACGCCCGTGTCTCAGCAGACTGGCGACGGCTTGGCTGCTCTCGCGATACTTGGCGCTGGCTTGGCCGCTGTGCGTGGATCCCGTATGCAGGTCAACGCTGCTGCCGTGGAGGCTCCTGAGCCGCCACTCTTCCAGCCTTCGGAGCAGTTCGGTTCCACCGAGCCTGTTGGATTTTTCGATCCGCTGGGGTTCACCAAGGTGGGTGATGAGAAGGGCTTCAGGAAGCTGCGTGTCGCGGAGATCAAACATGGTAGAGTAGCTATGATGGCTTCGATTGGGCTTGTCGCACAGCATTTCGTGAAGTTCCCCTTCTTCGAGAATGCTCCCGCCGGCTTCTCCATCATGGACAAGGGCGAAGGCGTGCTAGGCTTCTTCGGCATCTTCCTCGCTTGCGCCCCACTGGAGCTGTGGTGGAGGGAGAACCCGCAAAACGAGCCCGGAAATTACGGTGATCCCTTCGGTGTGAACATGTACACCGAGGAGATGAGGATGAAGGAGCTTAACAACGGGCGCATGGCCATGATCTCGGTTCTGGGAATCTTCGCCGCAGAGATGGCCACCGGCAAGGACGCCATGCAGCAGTTCGGGCTTTCCGCCATCGCTGGTGCCCGTGTCTCCACTTCCTCCAGCCGCTTTGCAGGATACACCTCTTCCACAGTCGTGGCTCAGCAGCGCGTGGTGCGAAGGGCTGAGGCCGTGATTCAGGAAGATGCCCCGCCACTCTTCCAGCCTTCGGAGCAGTTCGGTTCCACCGAGCCTGTTGGATTTTTCGATCCGCTGGGGTTCACCAAGGTGGGTGATGAGAAGGGCTTCAGGAAGCTGCGTGTCTCGGAGATCAAACATGGTAGAGTAGCTATGATGGCTTCGATTGGGCTTGTCGCACAGCATTTCGTGAAGTTCCCCTTCTTCGAGAATGCTCCCGCCGGCTTCTCCATCATGGACAAGGGCGAAGGCGTGCTAGGCTTCTTCGGCATCTTCCTCGCTTGCGCCCCACTGGAGCTGTGGTGGAGGGAGAACCCGCAAAACGAGCCCGGAAATTACGGTGATCCCTTCGGTGTGAACATGTACACCGAGGAGATGAGGATGAAGGAGCTTAACAACGGGCGCATGGCCATGATCTCGGTTCTGGGAATCTTCGCCGCAGAGATGGCCACCGGCAAGGACGCCATGCAGCAGTTCGGGCTTTCCGCCATCGCTGGTGCCCGTGTCTCCACTTCCTCCAGCCGCTTTGCAGGATACACCTCTTCCACAGTCGTGGCTCAGCAGCGCGTGGTGCGAAGGGCTGAGGCCGTGATTCAGGAAGATGCCCCGCCACTCTTCCAGCCTTCGGAGCAGTTCGGTTCCACCGAGCCTGTTGGATTTTTCGATCCGCTGGGGTTCACCAAGGTGGGTGATGAGAAGGGCTTCAGGAAGCTGCGTGTCTCGGAGATCAAACATGGTAGAGTAGCTATGATGGCTTCGATTGGGCTTGTCGCACAGCATTTCGTGAAGTTCCCCTTCTTCGAGAATGCTCCCGCCGGCTTCTCCATCATGGACAAGGGCGAAGGCGTGCTAGGCTTCTTCGGCATCTTCCTCGCTTGCGCCCCACTGGAGCTGTGGTGGAGGGAGAACCCGCAAAACGAGCCCGGAAATTACGGTGATCCCTTCGGTGTGAACATGTACACCGAGGAGATGAGGATGAAGGAGCTTAACAACGGGTGCATGGCCATGATCTCGGTTCTGGGAATCTTCGCCGCAGAGATGGCCACCGGCAAGGACGCCATGCAGCAGTTCGGGCTTTCCGCCATCGCTGGTGCCCGTGTCTCCACTTCCTCCGGCCGCTTTGCAGGATCCACCTCTTCCAGAGTCGTGGCTCAGCAGCGCGTGGTGCGAAGGGCAGAGGCCGTGATTCAGGAAGATGCGCCGCCACTCTTCCAGCCTTCGGAGCAGTTCGGTTCCACCGAGCCTGTTGGATTTTTCGATCCGCTGGGGTTCACCAAGGTGGGTGATGAGAAGGGCTTCAGGAAGCTGCGTGTCTCCGAGATCAAACATGGTAGAGTAGCTATGATGGCTTCGATTGGGCTTGTCGCACAGCATTTCGTGAAGTTCCCCTTCTTCGAGAATGCTCCCGCCGGCTTCTCCATCATGGACAAGGGCGAAGGTGTGCTAGGCTTCTTCGGCATCTTCCTCGCTTGCGCCCCACTGGAGCTGTGGTGGAGGGAGAACCCGCAAAACGAGCCCGGAAATTACGGTGATCCCTTCGGTGTGAACATGTACAGCGAGGAGATGAGGATGAAGGAGCTTAACAACGGGCGCATGGCGATGATCTCAGTTCTTGGCATCTTCGCTGCAGAGATGGCCACCGGCAAGGACGCCGTGCAGCAGTTCGGCTTGTAGATTTTCTTTATGAAGCCGTTTCCCGATGCCACATGCACGCATTTTCGTCATCCCTTTGTTCTTTCGGTCCTTGTGGCAAGCAAGTTGACCCCAAAGTTCCAATTGTCGCTTCGCGCCCTGCCTCGGTGCCGCCTGGTTTCAAGATACGTTTCCCCATCGTGGAACAGCTCCAGATGATGAGCGCCCTATGCTAAAGAGCAAGAAGACGAAAGATCTCATGCTTTGAAGAGGAGCAGATGCAAACAGGATGCAGGGTTAGGGCATGTGCCGGATGTCTGCATGGGCCCAGGTGTAAAGTTTAAAGGAAAGGGCATTGTCACACTCTCATGACGTTGAAATGCTTGTGTATGCTGCGGCGATCTCGCTCAGCACAGATAGGAAGGAATCAGAATTCAGCATTGTTGTCCGTCGATTTTCTGCTTCTTCAGGTTTTGTTCTACCTTGTTTTTTGTCACATTCCAGAACATTGTCGTGGGGTCAGCGCTGGGTGCGCAAGATTGCGAGAGTGGATGACATACTGACGTCTCAACTCCGAAACGGTGTGGCAACTTGGCTCGAGCCTTTTCTCTGTGACCTGCCGCCCGTGATCTTCCCTGGCCATGAGACGGAGTGCACTAGGTCGGGCCGGGGCTGTCGCCTTCGTGGTGAGCGCCGGCTATGTCTGTCTTGATGGCCTAAGCTTCGTTGGGGCTGGTCTCTTTGGCAGCCGATCCTTGTCCAGCGAGATGAAGGGTTACAGGCTGGACAGGATGCTTGAAGCCACGGATGGCGACCGATCATTGCAGACCTCGGAAGGCTTCTGGATCGGAGAGAAAGGCTTCGAGAAGTCGCAGTGGGCACAAGGCTACCGATACCGCATGCGGGCCTCGCCGGAGGAGTTCAAGAACGGCATCGACTGTCCGGCTCCACTCCAGATCGGCCCCATCAAGTGGAAGGTGGGCGAATGCTTCGGTGGAAGCGGCAACAACGACAAGCTGCGCCAGCTGAAGAAGGAGCTGGCCCAGGCCGGCCTCGACGACCCCAAGAAGCTCGCCGAGAACGAGTACTGGCTAAAGCGCTACGGCCGCAAGCGCTGGTACCCCAAGTACATCAACCAGTCCGGTGCCAAGAATCAGCAGGGCCTCTTGCGCGGCTTGGCGGCCTGGTCCGGCTACGACCCCCTCAATGAGGAGCGTGGCAAGACGTGGATCGAGGCGGATTATGGCAAGCCTCTCGTGGAGGGCAAGAAGGATTATCGGCTGCCTGGCCTCCTCACCAAGGAGCAAATGCAGATTGAGCTTGACAGCGGCAAGCTGCCCAAGCCCGGTGCCTGAGAGGATAGGTCGAGGTCGAGTCTTGCAGTGATTTAAGAGGTCGAGCTTTGCCGAGCTTCTGCCTGCAGCCTTGGTATGACAGCTTGGAACAACTCTCTTATGCCGTCTTCGTCCCAATCCACGCTGATCTACTTCCTTCCAAGCTGTCCTGAAAGCTCCAGGTCTTTGACACTGGGCCTGCTCCATAGTTTTTCCATAGGTATGTATATAGGGGCTCGGGGGCCTTTTGTTGGAAGACCCAGGCAGGACTGAGTGGAAGATGCGGGCTGTAGGGTTTGAGGGGTCTAAGGATTCAAAGATGCGGGGGGAGTTATGCCTTAGGATGCATGGGTCCCAAGTTCAGGGTTCTCTGATCTCTTGCACTCGCTGATACATGGGTTCAATATCTAAAGCATTGCAAGGCGATCTCGCTCAGCACAGGTGGGAAGCAATCAGCATTCTGCATCGCTGTCCTTCTATTTGTTTCTTCTGGTCGTCTGGTTTGTCACATTCCAGAGACTCGAACATGTTCCAGAGACTCGAACATGTGGAACATTGCATTGTCGTGGGGTTAGCGCTGGGTGCGCAAGATTGCGAGAGTGGATGACATACTGACGTCTCAACTCCGAAACTGTGTGGCAAATTGGTTCAAGCATTTTCTCTGTGACCTGCCGCCCGTGATCTTCCCTGGCCATGAGACGGAGTGCACTAGGTCGGGCCGGGGCTGTCGCCTTCGTGGTGAGCGCCGGCTATGTCTGTCTTGATGGCCTAAGCTTCGTTGGGGCTGGTCTCTTTGGCAGCCGATCCTTGTCCAGCGAGATGAAGGGTTACAGGCTGGACAGGATGCTTGAAGCCACGGATGGCGACCGATCATTGCAGACCTCGGAAGGCTTCTGGATCGGAGAGAAAGGCTTCGAGAAGTCGCAGTGGGCACAAGGCTACCGATACCGCATGCGGGCCTCGCCGGAGGAGTTCAAGAACGGCATCGACTGTCCGGCTCCACTCCAGATCGGCCCCATCAAGTGGAAGGTGGGCGAATGCTTCGGTGGAAGCGGCAACAACGACAAGCTGCGCCAGCTGAAGAAGGAGCTGGCCCAGGCCGGCCTCGACGACCCCAAGAAGCTCGCCGAGAACGAGTACTGGCTAAAGCGCTACGGCCGCAAGCGCTGGTACCCCAAGTACATCAACCAGTCCGGTGCCAAGAATCAGCAGGGCCTCTTGCGCGGCTTGGCGGCCTGGTCCGGCTACGACCCCCTCAATGAGGAGCGTGGCAAGACGTGGATCGAGGCGGATTATGGCAAGCCTCTCGTGGAGGGCAAGAAGGATTATCGGCTGCCTGGCCTCCTCACCAAGGAGCAAATGCAGATTGAGCTTGACAGCGGCAAGCTGCCCAAGCCCGGTGCCTGAGAGGATAGGTCGAGGTCGAGTCTTGCAGTGATTTAAGAGGTCGAGCTTTGCCGAGCTTCTGCCTGCAGCCTTGGTATGACAGCTTGGAACAACTCTCTTATGCCGTCTTCGTCCCAATCCACTCTGATCTACTGCCTTCCAAGCTGTCCTGAAAGCTCCAGGTCTTTGACGCACTTGTGGTGGCCTCTAGCGATGGTTGGCTCCAACCTGCTGTATCCTGACACCCCACACACATATCTATACATATCACATATATATATATATATATGTATAATTACATATGTGTGTATGTGAGAACATAAATACATGTATGTATAGATGTAGATGTAGTTGTAGATGTATTTTCACACATGTAAGCAGACGTTTGTATGCACATATGTGCATATTTACCTATTTGTACACAGGTTTCCACCTGCACACACACTTCTACATAAGAGAGGTTTCCGCAAAGCTCTTTGAGGTCCAATTTTTCACCGAGACAATGTAGAGCCTCCCGAGATGCTCGACGTGGCCACCGAACTCTCTGCAGAAAAGAAGCTAGCATCAAGGGCCTTGTGAGTGAGAGTAGTTGTGTTTAGTTGGGGCGTGCGTGGGGACGCGGGATATTGCAGCACAATTGCATGGGGACTGCGAGGGGATGTTGGCAGTGGTTTGCACGCCTACGGTACCAAACTGTCAAATCTCTGCAGTGCTATCATGTTTTTTTTTTTTTTCTGCTGGTCTTCGATCTGCGAACCACCCATGACCGAAGCATTTTGAGTCTCTGCTCCAGGAGACCAACATCGAGGCAATCCGACTCGAAGCTGCTGCAGCGCTCTGCAAAGCCATGGAGGCCTCGCTGACATGTCGCTGTTCGGCCGTGGCCGGACATACGACACCCTATGTAAGGCCTGAGCGCAAGTACCGACACTACTATGGTCCAGTGACTGACCTGTGGTAGCTGAGTCAGCCAGTGTGCTGTGCAGAAGTCCAGAAGCCACATTTTTTCAGGAGGGCAGCTTGGAAGCTGCATTGGCGCAGGCGAAGGGCCAGAAGGTCGGGAAAGAAAGACGGCACGGTGTTCGGTCTTATGTTGAGTGTTGCGATGGCTGCCATGATGATGATGATGATGATGATGCGAGAGGGTAAAAGATGATGCCAGCGATGCTTACAATGATAGTTTGCGACCATGATGACAATCGTAGCAACGACGCGGCAACGGCAGTACTAAACCTCACGATCATGGTAAGTACCGTCGCACCAGTCGCAGAAAGACACCTTATGGGACGTATGCAAGGAGTCCTGGCAAACGGACTGTGAGAGGCATGAGGAAGGTAGTTGTAGCCGGCATTGCTGCCGCCCGTTTTTTGCTACTGTTCACGTACCATGGGGGCCATGGCTGGTGTGACTTGCTGTTGTCGACATGCACCGTGCTGAGCGCAGCGACAAATCTGGTTGTCCTTCCGTCGTTGCGTCGACTGGTTCTTGCATGGTTCTTGGGAAGGGTGAAGACACCAAACAGTGAAGCTTAGCTATGCTTAGCTGCTCTCTGTGTGGCCAAATTCTTTGGCTCAGTAGCGAGGCATTAAAACTTGAGCCATAATGCAGGAAAGGGTTTCTTGGAGGTCTAGGTGCACATGTGACTTTCAGAGTAGAGTATGCAGAGGTTTTGCTTTCTGATCACGTTTGTGCTCTTGGAGCGACAGCAGATGTCTTTTTGCACAGGACGTGGACGTCCACGTGTTGAAGCAGGCGCGTTCACCAGAAAGGCGAAGGCCTTGAAACTGATGAACACCGAACGAATTGAGAGAAAACTCTAAGTACAAAGTCAACAGAAAGAGGAGCAGCAACGTCCAGTGTGCGCCTGGTCCCTTGAACCAATTGCTTAGGCAGGTGGCCCATGTGCAATTTTTGGTTTTGGTGGTAGTGATGAGGATGTTGACGGTTTTCGGCAATGAAACTAATCATGACGTCGGCGGGGCAAGGGCGACGACGAGGACGATCATGATGTTGACCAAGACTGACCAAGACGATGCATATGGCTATGAAGGTGAGTCGATCTGAAGAGCTACGGCAGCCAGTCGCTCTCGCAAATCATCGTGGCGCCGTTTACACTGAACCGAAGAAGGGAACAAGCAGCCGGAATGTGCAGTTGCGCAATGCTGCGCAGTGAGATGTGCAGGCAGGCGTCAGGCTTGTTGTGCACCCGCAGGAAGCAGCCACGGCTTTGCTCCAAGCTGCCCAGGTCCTGGGGGTTCATGGTGCCAGATGGCGCCTCTCAGGGTCATTCAGGGTGAGTGTCTTGTTTACGTGACCAGGCACGGGCTAACGCTCCAGGGGGGCCGTAGTCTTCGGCTGGAAAGCGCATCGTAACTCCGGAAGACTCTGTCCAGTGTCAGGATGGAAGCCTTGAGAAGGCCTTCGCCGAAGTGAAGTCGGAGCCGCAGCAGGCTCTGGTCTGCTTGGGCCACTGAAAAGGTGTATTAGACAGGTGCACCTCGCAGCTCGCAGCGGTCCAAGTGAGAACTTGCTAGAGATAGCGTGTCTCGTGCAAGACGTCGCAAGGTTGTACTTGAGTTTGCTTGAGGAGCTAGGTGTGTCGCGAGGGCTAGGTGTCGTATTGTTAGGCTGAAGACGAAGAAGCCGCGTGCAAAGAAGCCAACTGACCCGCCATGCCAAGCTTGAACCTAAACTTCATCAGGTTGGGATGGGGCCGAAGGGATAGAGCCTAGATGAAGGCTTCTTCTACCTGTTGCTCTCTTCAAATACTTGTCATGGCCCGTGCTGCCAGGAGCTGGAATCTCTTCGAATGGCGGCTGCAGAGACACTGTTGAAGGTCGGGGTGTGCCAGGATCTACTGTATTGTGTTGATTTAATGCTCCGGTTTTCGACTGTGCCCAGGTTTTCGCATCCGGAAAACCCCAACGAAAACACACGCACCATTCGTTTCGGAATCAGCTTAACTCCCAGACTCTGGACTCCCAAGGACTCCCAACCTAGACCCCAAAGGCTCGCTCCTAGGTCCCGGGTGTGAGGCAAAGAACCCAAGTGACGCCAAAGTTTGTACGAATCTCCCGGACCGGGAGGCTGCAGTGGATGGCAGCCTGGAGCAGGCCGCGGCCAGGTTTTGGTCTTCCTGGAAGCAACCGAGTTAGGAATCGATAGCAGAAGCTACTTGTATTGCAAGGACGCCAAGACATGTCAAGACTTGCAATGCTAGAAGATGCCTCCTTTGCTGTATTGCTATTTGCTACTTGCTACGATCCGGCTCGGTTCGATGTCGCACGGTTCCATGTGCTAAGAGTAATAAGGTCGGATACTTCAAGATGGGAGTTGAACCGGAACCGGAACATCGTCAGCGTCGCTTGTGTGATACCGTGCGGTGCAGCATCAGGGTACTGTTGTTTCGTGCGATGCTGGCTTTATGAAACAATTCTCTTGCTGCCGTGTATGCGCATGCGGTTCTGCGCCGATATGTGTTTCCGTCCATTGTCAAATGTTGCCTAGACTGCTCTGCCTGCGGGAACTGAGCTGCCGACAGGCACTGCGCGCAGCTCCGCGGAGCGCGGCTTCAGGCACACCGCTCCCTGGAAGCCGCGGAAGACTTAGACTCAGTGCAGATTTGGGCAGGCATTACATCTGCAGGGACTTCCGAACTGGGCGACCTGGCCACGGACTGGCGCTGCAGCTCATGGGGGAAGGGCCTTCGATGAGCGTCCTGGTCTTGCTTCCTCTCGCCTGACCTTACCAGGACCTGGTGCACGCTGCCTGTCAAGCCGCCGAGACCCCACAGGGGCCGCTGTCTGTGGTGTTTTCGCAGGCACCTGCAGCCGGTCGTGTTTTAGTCTGCGTTTGTCTAGATCCGTCGATGCTGCTACTTTTTCCGTTGCGGCTTCCGGGGACTCTGGCGTTTAAATTCGAGGCAGCTGGCCATACGACTCTTAGCTTGCTGGGTTCCTGCAAGCCCGCGTTGAGTCACTTTAAGTTGCATGTCATGGGAGTACGGAGTATTGGTCCTTTTCCGCTTGTAGGAACTCAAGTGTGTCCGAAAGAGCACACTAGAAGAACGAACTCTCCAGGTCGGTCCTGGCGATGTGCATGCTAAGCCCTACTTGGAGGATCATGGGACTTAGTAAGTAATGTTATAAGTACCCTCATTGGGGTTATAAGTAGTTATAAGTACAACTACCTAGTAGCAACCCTAGTTACTAAGTCCCACGAGCTAGCTAGCGTTTAATCAGTGCGCGAGTCAGAAGCCGCTTTCCATCGAAGCTTGTTACATCGCAGAGCAAGGGTTCAACAGGGTACCGGGGCGAGAGAAACGGGTGTTTCTCACAATTTGGTGTACTTCACATGGGGATTCTTATAAGATTTATCCTGCCATTTGTGTGTCAGTTTTCTGTTTTTCGGTCCTACCTACCAACAGTCACAAGTGTCCGGATTGGCCGAGTTGTAGCGTTGAAGTATGGCAGTCTCGCAGAGGAGCCAGTGGACGAAGAATCGCTGCCAAAGGCATCTCTGGGGCAGGGGTTAAAGCGTGATGTCCACAGAGAGTCTTACTGTTAAAGACGTCTAGGGTTAAAAGGCGTTGTGCAAGAATCCTCGCCCAGGCGATCAGGATCGGATGTTGACCGCAAGAAGTTGATGTCTACTTTGAGTGAACATGCAGGAATGTGCCTGTGCCCAGCGGAAGTGCAAGTTCTACTACTTGTTTTCTTATTGGCAGTCCATGTTCAGGCGATATCACAAGTCCCGACTAGATGAAGCTCAAGCCATTTAGGCCCCATCGCATGGCAAGAGTTAATTTTGCAGGCCAGATCTACGCATATTCAGGGCGCCTGAGGTAGCAGATGGATGCTAGCAGCCGCTAATCACTGTTGGCGAGCCCAGTGCGTCCTTTTGAGAAGGAGTAGTTCCGAAGGCAAGGTGCAAAGGTGGAGTTCCTCAAATTCCTTGTTTGGTTGCAGCTCAGCCAGCAGACTCCGAGAAAGGCCACCAAGCCTGTCGAGCAGGGCAAGGTGGGCCTGGTCCGAGTAGTTTCGAGTAGAACTTGAGTTGCGAAGAGTCACAGGGTGCTTTTTGCATCAAGGGATGTAGGTCGTGATAGTGTGCATCTGAGACCCCGGGAGATGCTGCGCCCGGAGGAAATAGCCGCAGCTAGCAGCAGCAGAAGCAGCAGCAGCAGCAGTAGTTCTAGCAGTAGTAGGAGCAGGAGCAGTAAAGTGGTAGTGGCAGTGGTGGCAGTTGCAACAGTAGTAGCGGCAGCAACAGCAATAGCAACAGCAGTAGCACGCAGTCGGTGGCGTCGTCGCTGCTACAGCAGCAGCAACGGCAGCAGGAGTAATTTGTAACATGTCCGATGAGGGGTAGCAGGAGCATAAGCAGCAGCATCGGCAACAAGCAGCTGCAGCAACGGCAAAAATAGAAGTAATAGCCGTGTCAGTATCTACAATTGCAAGCTCCAGTATCGAGGCTTCCGACAAACACGTAGCATTACAAGGACCACGACGCATGGCAACGCGAAGAGCGGGAGTGGTCTCAAACGTAAAAACCGAGACGCCCATGAAGCTTCACAACATGGAAGCCATGGCAAACATCCGAAGCATGAACAAGTCTGCCAGCACAGCTAGACTGCATAATGCCCCAGTAGGAGCAATCGCAACATGCGGATGCATGTTCGGAGGAGCAGGTGTCATATCCACGAAGCAGGTTCGGTGCAAAGGCAACAAAACACAATGCCAAGAAAAGAGTCGGCGGCAGGACATCGAGGCCATCCGACAGGCCGCAGCACGCTCGCTGCTCAAGGCTGCCGAGGACACCCGAACATGGCCGGTGCCAGCAGCTCTGTAGCGCTGCGGTAGCTCTCTGCTCGCGTACGATTCTGCCACAGCGGGTCGCGGCATCATTGCAGGGTCTACGTATGTACAGTACTTAGTAGGCTAGATTGGGCAAAGGCCTTCGACAGAATACAACATGTCAGAATGGCGATAGTCTTTAGCAGACTCGGTACTCATCCGCACTTACATTGATGTCATGATGATTTGTTACAGCAATCCCCGCTTGTTTCTTGAGGATGAGCATGGAAACCCAGTATAAAACAACGAGGATCAGGCACTCGCCGAGGATGACCTTTGTCTCTTTGTTTGTTCGTGCTAGCAATGTCTGTGATAGACCATGACAACAGCCGCATACGGTGAATTCTAGGTTTTCCGGAGTTGATTTCGATATAGTTTCCTATGCGGATGATACTTACTCATCGGTACCAACACCTAAGCCGCCGATCATTTGTTACATGAGGCAGAAGCCGTATCCGCACAATTCGAGTTACGCCTTCATAGAGAGAAATGCTGCAACATTGCTATGAACGGGCGCAATGTCATGAATTTGCTGATGGTACCGGTTTGAAAAGAGCCACCGCAGCCACGTGTCTGCGAGATCAAATCACACAAGCCACGGCCATAAGGCATGAAATCAACCATCAAATGCATGATACATTGAACGTTTGGTATAAGCTAACCAGTTCCAGGATTTAAACTCCGAAGCCCAAGACCCATCCTATGATCACATGAACCAAACCGCCAAACCACTCCACACGCAAGCTCAAGGCCCAAGCCGTTCCACAGAGGGGCAAACCGAGTTGCAAGAGTCCAACAGCCCCAGCCAATTTGGGATTAAGGGTTTAGCGTTCCAGGATGGCACATTGGAGTCAGCCTTGGGTGCTGTGACGACGCCATCCCAACAGGTGCCAACTTTGCAACTTGCTGTAAGCTTTCGGATTGCTGCTTGGGGACGTGTCTCCGAACCTGGGAGGGTTCTGGCTCCTTGGCTGTTGGCTTCCAAGGCTTCTTGGCTTCTCGGCTCGTTGAATTGGGTCTTCAGATCTCAGGGGCAAAGAAGGAAGCGAGGGAGAAATCACGGTTGAGGGCCAAGAGCTTATGCAATGTCGTCACAGCAACGATGTCTAATGGATTCTGCGTTGATATGAGGTGCCTGGAATCCTTGAGTGGCAGGGTTTGTTGGAGGTATGTGTCGAAAGTTGCTGTGCGGATTTGCAACAGTAAACAGACCGACCTTTGTCTTGTTCGGGATCAAGAGCTTGAGAAGCCAAAGCGCTTGACGGTGCTGAGGCAGCCGTAGCGCCTTTATGGGCATGTTTGGCCGTGCCTTTCCAATGCTGACGCTGCTGTGCGCAGCTTTCGTGGCCCTTTGTGCTGTACGCTCCGCAGCAGCTGACTGCTCACACAACGGCGCGTGCATCTCGGGCGCAAGCGTGTGCACCGCTGGTTGGACGGGCAGTGCTTGTTCGGTGATTGATGTGGCTCCGTTTGACAAGACAAAGTGGGGCTACATGCCTATCCCAGATGGCTTCACCAGTTGGGGCGGTGCTGTGCTCAAAGAGGGCGGGAAGTACCATATGTGGGTCTCAGAGAATTCCAAGAAGTGTGGTATGGGCACCTGGGGCACCAACTCGAGGTGCATTCATACAGAAGCCACGAGTCCGGAGGGCCCGTATGCGAAGACAGGTGTGGTCTTCGGTCCGATGTGCCATGAGCCTAGAGTTATTATGGCGCCCACAGGAGAGACGGTGATGTACTTCACCGGCATGATGGCGTCACAGATGTGGGATCTGAGGCAACCGGCGGCTTCTCGTCAGATCATGCCTACACCACTGAGACCGAATTTCTTTGTGATTGCTTGTGCAACAGCAGTTGACAGAACCGCAGCTCCCCCCCCTTCGGATCGTGTGAACACGGCCTCCTCGGATCCGACATGAGTTGGACCACTCCAGGGGACGATGCGTCCTGGTCCAAGCCCGTCATTATCGATCCTCGTGATGTTCAGCCACCGGATTTCAAGACGCAGCCTTTGCAGGCGACACTATCGTAACCAGCTTCGGACCGGTCGAGATTCAAGCGAACGGGAGCCTGCTGGCAATGTGGCGGTCCTGGCAAGATTGCCCTGTGGGTTTAGGTACTTTCTGCTCCGTGATCCACACAGCCAGTGCAATGCACTGGAGACCAGGAATATCTTTGCTGATGAGAGCACTGGACCAGCGGAGTGTGGTGCCACTGGGTCATTGGTACCCCACTCCGCTGGGCCAATGAGTTCTTTGTAACCAAAGGGATTGAGGATCCCTTTGGATGGAAGGACTCGCAGGGAGTGTTTCATGCAATTTTCCATTACATGGTCTCGGAGAGAGACTTGACATCCCATGCTTGGAGTACAGACTTTTCCGGCAAATGGACGCGCACGTGCAATGCCAATGTTCAGAACGTTTCTTTCACCGATGGCACGTTTGCAAAGTTTGAGTCACGTGAGCGGCCGGACTTAGTGGTGGATGATGCCGGAAAGCCTGTCGCTTTGGCTACCGCCTGCAACGCCGGGACAAGCCCTCCTGAAGGCCTTTTAGCTTGAATTGTCTCATAAGGGGGTTGTAAAAGAGGGTTGCTACTGGTAGTTGTCCTCACAAAATCGGGCATAGCGGCCCCTGAAGGCTACATGATCGGGGTGTTTCCCATTCTCGAATCCTCGGAGTTTGCTGTTGACAATGCCGCTTTCACTTTGGTCCAACCGCTCGTCTCGGATGGCAAGAGTACTAGTGCTGCTCCAATGGATAACTCAACGACGAACACGGGCCAGTCCGTGTCAAGCACATGTACCATCGCAAACGCAGTGGTCCTCTTGCTCAATGTCGCGTGGCTTTTCCATCATTGATGCTGCTTCCTGCCGGATCTTGCTAATCAGCCGGCGAACCTGAACCTGTACTTCGCACGCCCGTTCTCGAAAGCGGATGTATAAGACACATGCAAGACTTGCTGTCTGAAGAGGGGTTGCAGGGTCGAGAACACTGATCTGGTTGCCAGGGCAGCAAGGCGGACATCGATCAAATCCGCATCAAGGCCAGCCAGCTCTGCATTGCATGGTGCTTCTAATAACAGCAGCAGCAATCGTGAGAATGTTGTTATGTGCCATCATGATTGCTGTCCTGACTTCGCAACAGAACCACCCGAGTGATGAGAGAACGACCGTTGCTGGCAAACATCGCGGCGACAGCCAGCAGCCACCAACTCAACAGCAAATTCGCGAGCGATTCATGACGAGAGCAGCTGGCAGCAGATCCTAATGTGCCAGCACTAGCAACATTGGCAAGAACAACAACCACGACAACGGGATGGAAGCATCAGTCGATTCTGCTAAGGTGAGAGACAATGAGAAAAGGAAGCACAAAAAGCTGTACGCGCAAGCACATCGGTTGATCATGGCGTCACCAGGGCCTTTAGCCTAATTTCGCAGGCCGCTGCCTCCCTTCTGCGAGCGGCCGAAGACGGCCGTCTGGCCGAAGCCGGCTGCCCAGAGAAGCGCAATCGCAACTAGAGCAACACAGCATCGGAATCATCTGGTATGTCTAGTCTTGCCTTCTTATGCTCAACATAGCAATCTCGTATCAGTTTGTAATAGCAAAGCCAGGGGTGAGTTAGGATCTGAGTAGATCGGCCCGAAGCAAGATTGCCATCGCCAGACTTCTGCCAGTCTTTTTGGCGTTCTTAGTATGGCCGTCATGGCCACGACGACGACGAGGACGACAAAGACGACGGCAGCCGCTATAACTAGAACGCGAGCAAGAGCGGGAGCAGGAGCACGAGGACAAGGAGAAGAAGAAGAAGAACAACAACAGCGACAGCAACAGCAGCAGCAGCAACACCTGCTCTGCTGCTGCTACTACTACTACTACTGCTACTACTACTACTGCTACGACTACTCCTACTGCTGCTGCTGCTACTACTACTACTACTACTACTACTACTATACTACTACTACTACGACGACGACGACTACTACTACTACTGCTACTACTACACTACTACACTACTACACTACTACACTACTACACTACTACACTACTACACTACTACACTACTACACTACTACACTACTACACTACTACACTACTACACTACTACACTACTACACTACTACACTACTACACTACTACACTACTACACTACTACACTACTACACTACTACACTACTACACTACTACACTACTACACTACTACACTACTACACTACTACACTACTACACTACTACACGACTACACGACTACACTACTACACTACTACACTACTACACTACTACACTACTACACTACTACACGACTACACGACTACACTACTACACGACTACACTACTACACTACTACACTACTACACTACTACACTACTACACTACTACACTACTACACTACTACACTACTACACTACTACACTACTACTACTACTACTACTACTACTACTACTACTACTACTACTACTATCACTACTACTACTACTACTACTACTACTACTACTACTACTACTAGGTGTGCCAGGTGGGTGACAAAAAGCCACCACCATGACTGCTACTGCTGCTGCTACTACTACGACTACCACCACTACAGTTACAGTGTTAGTAGTAAGTAGTAGTTCCACTACTACTGCTGCTGCAGCTGCTTCTGCTTCTGCGTTTGCGGCTAATGCCACGGCTACTGCTACTGCTAACGGCCGCAGCTACGAGTACGACGACCGCGACGAGGACGACCGCCATTTAGCATGCAGACTTTTGATTCAAAAACCGTGGCCTCTATTGTCGAAGCTGCTCTTGTTATATGTGGCCTCTCCATTGTTATTGTTGTTTTGGTTGCTTGCTGTTGTAGTACTTGCCAACTAAGCCCTCTGTCTGGTTGACAGTTGTGTTTGTCTTCTTTCTCGTTTCGATGCTTCTGCTCACTTTTGTTGCTTGCTGGTTCCGGTCAACAGTTGTTTGCCGATTTTGGGTTGTGGTGCTAGCAGGTCTGTGGCATGCATGTCAACGGGTTCTGTGAATGCTGGCGAAGCTAGTACAGCTATAGTATGCTTGTTCATTATTCGAGGGCCTGTAAGCTACGTAATCACTTCGCGCCGTGATTAGATTCATGTCCATCCGCAACAGCATAGTCATGTTTTTAAAGCTCTTCCAGAGATTTTAGCTATTATCGTTGCGGGCTGCAGTGGGTCATGCTTCTTCAAGAATCGATCCTTAATCGTGGGGGGGTAGCGTTCCGCGGTATGTGGCTCCTACGTCGTGATGTACTGCGAGGTCTTGGCTCCAACTGCAAAGGCGAGGGGGGTGGGTGTTGAAAGCAGTCGGTCTGTGGCTATCCAGTTGAGATAAAGGCTCACATCAGAGGCTGGACAAAATGAGAACCCTTCTTCCCTGTGCTAGCCCACCACGGCGAAGGCCAACGCAAGCGACGGTGCGAAGTGTGCATTGCTGCGTGCTTTTGTGATGCATTGGATAGCTCCCCCATCAACAAGTTCAATGAAGACGTGCCCATCCCACGGGCTTAGCCGTTTCTGGCGCAGTTTTTCGCTCGGCAGGGCACGACCGACGTTGAGCAAATCCGCCTCAAGGCCAGTTACGTGTTGCCCGCAGCCTGCAACACAGTAGAGAACGGTTGTCCCGAACGCATGTTTTCAGATCTCGTCCATCCATCGATCGGAAATGCATGCATCGGTTCGTCCACAACAGCAGAGGCAACAGCAGCAGCAACAACGGCATCAACGGCAACAACAGCAACCACCTAGCAGCAAGAGCAACGATGGAAAATGGTATTGACAGCCAGAACTAGGTGCCCAAGCAGAACCTGAAGCAGTACTTCATAACACAAGGGCTGTGCGGCACTCTAAGCCAGCGGGACTTCTATCGTCGTTGATTGCTTCAAGTAGTAGCAGCAGTAGCAGTAGCAGCAGCAGTAGCAGTAGCAGTAGCAGCAGCAGTTGCGGTAGGAGTAGGAGTAGGAGCAGTGACAGTAGCAGTAGCAGTAGCATAGCAGTAGCAGTGGCAGCAGCAGTAACAGTAGTGGTAGTGGTAGTAGTAGTAGTAGCAGTAGTAGTAGTAGTAGCACTAGCAAGCGTAGATGGTAGTAGCAGTAGTAGTAGTAGTCGTAGTAGTAGCAGCAGTAGTAGTAGCAGCAGTAGTAGCAGCAGTAGTAGTAATAGTAATAGTAATAGTAATAGTAATAGTAATAGTAATAGTAATAGTAATAGTAATAGTAATAGTAATAGTAAGAGTAATAGTAAGAGTAATGGTAAGAGTAATGGTAATAGTAAGAGTAAGAGTAATAGTAAGAGTAATAGTAATAGTAAGAGTAATAGTAAGAGTAATAGTAATAGTAATAGTAATAGTAATAGTAATAGTAATAGTAATAGTAATAGTAATAGTAATAGTAATAGTAATAGTAGTAGTAATAGTAATAGTAATAGTAATCGTAATCGTAATCGTAATCGTAATCGTAATCGTAATCGTAATCGTAATAGTAATAGTAATAGTAATAGTAATAGTAATAGTATTAGTAATAGTAATAGTAATAGTAATAGTAATAGTAATAGTAATAGTAATAGTAATAGTAATAGTACGTTCCTGGACTTTTGAGAGGGCCCTGTAGCTGTGTCATCCCTTTCAACCCGTGTCCGACGAGTGGCCTGCAATGCGGTCTTCGACCAGCCAAGTGGGAGCCAAAAAAATAGTAATAGTAGTACTAGTAGTAGTAATCGGAGTATTGGTAGTTGCGAACGGACTGCGATGCCTTGTCAAGTTCTAAGGTGTCACTATAAGAGCTGTGAGCAAGACTGTGTAAAGTGCAAGAGAAGGGGGCACGCTACGCGTCCCTCGACTCTAAGGGGGCACGCTACGCGTCCCTCATCTTTACCTTTCTATGTGACCGCCCACGCAACGTTTGGCTCAAGTCAATGCCCATAGCTAAGTGCTATAAGTGTCTTCTATCCTGAGCAATCAGAGCTATCCCGTTGCACAGACGAACCGCCGCCGGCAGTGAGTGCAAAAGGAACGGCCGCCGGTTCTTCCTGCATAGGATTGCACGCGTGGAAGTGTAAGAGAGACAGGGTCCAGTCTGTGGAGAGTGCAAGCCAGCCACACCTACATTCATTACAGCTCTGGTGGGGAGAGCAGCAACCTAGTCGAGATCAATCCCCCACGCAGGTTATCAGCCGTACGCGGCTCTGCCTTTCTACAGCAACGACTACTTGATCTACTACGACCACAATGAACTCGGGATCAAGCCAAGATACGACAATGACTTTCGGTGCCGATGTGGCAGCGCCAGCCGTTGGTGAGTCAACAGCTGATGACACAGTGGTGCAATCCGTTGATAGCTCCACGGAAGATGACAAAGGTCAATCTTCTGCGCTTGCCATTGCAAAGGCAGTTCCCAAGGTGAAAGCAAAGAGTCTACCAAGAGCATCTACGCCTTCGCGTCCGACATCCACAGGTTCGAGGACGGGCAAGGCTCCCGAACGACGAGCCGAAGCGTCTGGTTTTCAGGCACCTCGGACTACGTCCAGGGCCAAGGACAAAGGAGTGAAGACCTTGGAAAAGAAGTCAAGACCATCATCTTCGAGAAGCTCTTCAGCACGATCGAGGACTTCGGCTAATCGTGGGCGTGACAAATCCATGACTTGGAATCGGATGGTTACCAATCAACCACGTGATGCTGACGATCTGGATATGACTCTGGACACTATCCCAGCACGTGGCGATGCGTCATCGGTGACCACGCCAGCCATAGCCGATGGTCCGAATGCCTATCAGGAACTGACGATTTCGCAACAGCTCGAAGCATCTAACATTGCGCAGCAGATGTACTATCGCAGTCAGATGCAAGAATACGAAGGAGTTG